CCCCCGGCTAGGCGTGACGGGCGCGCAAAGCGCGCCCAGAACGGCTAGTATACTCATAGAATTCTAAATCAGAATGTTAGTTTCTGTGGTAAAATAAAGCTTGAAGGGAAATTAGGCTATGCTTGTTGTAGTTCGACTAATTCTAATTAATGCAATCCATTTATAGATGTTCACGACTTGCTGAACACTGTGGATGATGCTTTCCTCCGCATCATTATGAACCTTCTTTTCCTGTCTCTTAAATCAGCCATAAATACAATTTTCTGTGATTACAATTTAAGATATTATATATTCATGTCGCTACGATAGCCAAAGAATAAAGGCTAAATAGAGCTGTTTCCACTTTAGCATGCATTCCTAGTCTTGTGAGATTATCCACTTTACCGAGATGCTCGTCTACGTTTGAAATTGAAATTTTGAAATTGAAATTGAAATGGCTTTATTTATACGGAAACCTACCATATAGTTTAGATAGACTTTATCTTGAAACTACCCATTTGAGGTCGTTGTAATATGTGCTTTAAATCCATCCGATCAAACAGGTGACTGGTAAGTCAGAATGTCACTCTGTTGGGTTCGCCTTCATTATGAGCGCAGGCAAAAGGCGTTACGCTCGCAACTGCTCTAAAATCTTCATACTGAAGTATCTCGTTGATCATTTGATTTTAGAGGTCGCGAAAAGATAACTCGTGAAACAAAAGAAAATAAGGAAATCCATTAACAATACTAAATAAATAAATGGAAATGCAGTCAGTAAAGTTAACGGTAATTGCCATGAATGATTATCTTATTTACAAATAGCGCATTCGATGTGATGTCGCATTAAACTTATGGATCGACACAGATACCCATAACCCTCCTTTGACGATTTCACTGTGATAAAAGCTAAATGGTTATATTTCCGAGATAAACGATTCGGACACAGCATGAAAAAGTAACATATTTTTTGAAAAGAGTTTAGATTGGGTAGGTTCGAGCTGTGTTTTTTTTCTAATCTTTGAAACAATTTAGATGTATGCCTTGTGAAAACCGCAACTTTAACAGATTTTTGGTTGTATACCCTTATGCGGCAGGTCAATTTCAGCTACCGTAAAAAGTCCATGAGATAAGTTACCTAAATTAATAATTTCCTTTAAAGCTATTTTAATTATCAATCATGCTCGTTGATTAAGTTAACTTAATTGAACCTAGTTTCATTAAGAGTTGTAGAACTATTTTATGAATTGGAAATCATTTTGTAACCATAAGGGTAAAATAGTCCCACTTTTCCACCGCCTAGAGAGTCATTAGTAGGTCTGATTTACTTTCATCGATTTTATAGACCTGTTGATGCCATTCAAACCAGTAAACTACAATGTACTGTGATAAGAATCTCCGTTAATCTCGTAGTTCCTATAACTTATAATTTTATGGCATCGTCTAGTTTTATGTGACTCCGCTTGTTTTGCGTAAAATCTCTTTCCTCGTCAGCCAGGTTCATTCTCGCGCGTTTCACGCATGGACTATGCTAAGGAAGAAAGCCGTATAAGCTTTTAGACGTTGCCAGAGTTCCTTCAATAAAAACCGAATTTACTGGAAAAATTGTTGATATTTTTTGTTAAATTTTTCAGATTCAACTTCACAACAGATGTCTTCTACACCCTAGATGATGATATTCAGAATACTTGACACCCGGTTTCCATGTTTTCCTTACCCATTATGTATACTTTAGATTTCTTTGAGGAAAATGTGAATATTTCCTCACTTTGAATGTGCCAAATTCATTTATGACTTTTAATTTAGCTTAAAAATAATCATCTCATGTCAATTAATTAATCAGAACGGCCTTGGAGAGAAAAGTTTCAGAATTCGCCGAAGCGTTGGTGTATGCATCGGCATTTGGAAACCTTTGAATAGTTAGGCAGTTCCTCTTGTTATCTCAAAGTAACAATTCTCTACTATATGATGAATATTATATAACGTTAGGATAACTTTTTCTCGAGTGGTCTAGTTTAAATTCACGTTAATTAAAATTGTTAATTTTGGATCATTTTACCTCTCCTTTTAATCAATTTGTAACCATTTGCGAGCTGCGAGATCTTTAAGCGAAACAAATAAAAATCAAGACACTTTGAGATGTTGGGACTCTAACGTTGTTCGAGAGACAATTTTTGTCATTTAAAATCCACAGTTTTTGAAGCTCAAAATTGTCAAATTTAATTTCACCCTCATACGCTCCTCATTAATACATTACTGAGCTGAACCATTTACAACATATTCATTGGGATACTATACTGAGTGGATTCCGGTGAAAAGCTGAAATTTCTAATTTCGACAAAAATTGAGCTCGCCAAAAATGTTTGCTTTATAGAGCAAGGTCCCTCGTCTCAAAGAAAGTCGCATGTAAAGACGCACCATCTGTTCTAATGCCTGTGAAATAGTTTCTCTGTCTTTTGTTCCAAATACATGGTGATCATCCTCTTAAAGTATATATTCTTATTTATTTTTCTTCAAATGAACCAAAAAAATCAAATTTCCATAAGAAATAACGGATATATATGAATTTTGTTCAAAACATGCGCCCTGGCATTTAAAAGAAATCAATTCAAAGGTATAATTTTTGCATTTGCAAATGCAACCAACAACTTGACATGCATGTGACACTCTCCTAATTTCCAGTTTTAAGGCCCAGTCAAGACGGGTGAACCTTTGCCAAACTTACACAAAACTAGTTTAACAAGACAGATATAACTTAGTTACAACTATTTCGATGAATTGGTTTGACAAACCTTCACAAATAGGTTGAGCGTCAAAACCAGATCTAATTTTGTTTATTCTAAACAACGTGGGCTATTCTTACTCAAATACGGTAAAAAATCAATCAAAAAATACGTTGCATGAAGAACCACCCATATAGGGACGAGTGATAATTTGCAATCATGATTTGGAGACTTAAACGCTGAAACACGAAAGTAGTGTGAGGTTATCTCATTGCATAGACTTGTTCGTTAATAATTGTATTTAGCAAATGGGTGGTTTTTATACGAGGATTAAGAATAAACAAATGGTTAGAAATGAAAACAAAATAATATGAACTATGCAAAACGATAATCCGGGTATCGGAACTTGGCTGTTTTTGAAAACGCCTTCAAATGCGGCGTGATACCTCACGCATTCCGGAGAGTTCAAATAGTTGTATCATTGCGCCGTAAGAATGTGACGGAAGATTACAATTGAAATAGCCTTCATGCACGCTGGCCTTTTCGATTTCCTTTGACATTTTTGCAGTGGTGATTGCAAAGCTGAAATGTGCTCCAGCTAGAATTGTATTTAGCAAATCGGTGGTTTTTATACGAGGATTAAGAATAAACAAGTGATTAGAAATGAAAACAAAATAATATGAACTATGCAAAACGATAATCCGGGTATCCGAACTTGGCTGTTTTTGAAAACGCCTTCGCTGGCCTTTTCGATTTCCGTTCACATTTTTGCAGTCATCACTTCATAGCTGAATTGCGCTCCAACTAGAATTTATTTATTTTCCACATAAGATACTTTGAACTTAGAGGTCAATTTATTCAGTGAAACCTGGTTAGTCAGAATGTTAGTTCAGAGATCAGCTGTTGCAGAAAATTCTTGAATTTACTTTATAGATCTTACCTTCAATTCGAATTGTCAGTTGG